GTTGATCCACTTTGGAATGTCGTCCATGGTCCGAATCTTCATGAAATTGACAATCGTCTTGGACTGCACGACATCCTGATACCACAAAAATGAGTTGGCGAAGCATAAGTGGACACCATAGTACCGAGGCCTTGGGGTTGAGCGCCGACGAGACGCCGTGGTCGGCTAAGTACACTTGGTGGATCGGCGTGTGCGTCAGCACCATCGCGATAAATGCAAAGAAAAGCAAGCATGGCACGGGCACGTTGACGAAATGGCGGCGCAGATCGTGGCGCGCTTGGAGACCGATCCGTGCTCGCTGCGTCGAGATGCTCACAGTCTCTGGCTCGAGCATTGCGAGTGGCGTCTCGGCCGTTTCCAAGTCCTGCGCCCCCCAGACCCCAGGGTGGGCCACGGGGCTGCTCTCTTGCACGTAGTGCGTGCTAAAGCTCTTCATCGATGTGGAGCCAAAGGGAAAGTGAGCGATACTACCATATAAGCATAACAAGTGAAGCGCGAGCGAGGCGACATGTGCTTTTCGGCGCCAGAGGCTCCCAACGGCAAAGTCGGCGACAACCTCATCACACCCGACTCGTCGTGCGCATTTGGATTGGTCGACAGAAAATAGAATCCAAAACGTCGCGTTCTGATTGGATAAAAGAATTTCGAAGCCAATACATGTCGCCCACTGTGGTCGGCCCGAGCGTCGCACACTCACGTCCACAAACAAGAGACGGTTGGTCACGCGCCAATTCTTGAAGCTATATAGGGAGAAGCCACGCTGGAACACGCTGTCATCCATCGCAACCCAAGTGGGAACTGCACGTCGAACTCTCTTTTTCGATGTTGCAAGTTGTCGCGGTAGAGTACCAGCCACTTGGCTCCATGCTCTCCCGTTGCCACAGGTTGTCACGATCCCGATGCAAACAGACGACTGCATGGGACGGTGAAAGTGTCGGATCCTGACGCTATCGAATAAGGTCATCATGTGTCTGTGTTGCTCGTGCATGTCGTCATGCACATGAATCGGCACGCACTGTTTGTAGCTCCCTGGTCACAATAAAAGAATTTACTGCAAACCGAGAGCCCAACAACGAATTTTCTGTCTCTCAAAATCCATGCTTGGTAACATGTAGCAGCAGTTCAAAACGCAGGCAGTGGCAGCATTGGCTGACAGTCGGCTCGAACGCCGAGCACCCACTACGATTGCACAGTCTTTGTCCCCACCTAATATTAAAGTGGGATGCTCTTACAACCCTGCGGCGTGGGTCGCCAGAACCACAATGCAACTCTCGACGTGGAATATTCGATTCAAGCTCACGTGTGACAAGGACCTGTCGTGCGCCACTCGCTGCGTTGCGCAACGGGCGATAAATGCAGCTCATGCCTTGTTCCGCTGTCATTGATGCGTCCACAGACTATAGTCTCTACGTCGTTGAGCCATAATTGAATGATGGTCATCACGTTGTCACAATTCCGCGGCAGCCAACAGCAACTCAACACTCATGCGAGCGCTGAAGGTTGGCAGTGGTGCATGCTTGGTAGCAAACCTTGTCATGGCCTTTGTTGGTCCGTTGAGGGGCGTTGGTCGGTACACACTTCATCTCTTGAAATATAGCATTGTAGCAAAGCAATGTAGCCCTGTAGTAGCGGTAGCGACAGAGCTTTGCCAGTCGGTAGTACACGGCTACCATCGCATGATGGGTCCAGCCGGCACTGACGGCAGCAAACTTTGCCAGAGTCAAGCCTTGGAAAGTGAGTCCTGCTGAAAGGTGGCAGGCATTTCATGCGTTTGTTGTAACTTGTGTCGCGGTCACGAATGCAATGTCGACAGCAAGTCAACTTTGCCCATGGCAGCTATACCCAATCGCAACGACAGCCCATGACGACAGCCTGTATGCACTTTGATGCAAGCAAGAATATACTTTGACGTCGGTCGTTGTCACAACTAGGACCCGTTCACATGAGCATCGCCGATAGCGCGCACGCACCAAGTGTCCACGCAATGTGGGCGTGGTAAGCTGCACCGTTTTATTCGGCGGCGCCGTCGTCGTATTCGTCTCCATACTCATGTTGACCTCCATCGTCATGACGTCGTCCGAGATGAAAAGGTCGAAGTTATTTTCGCTCGTGTCGACGGGCACTTCGAGTAGCCCAATGTCGTCGGCCAGCTCCGGGTCGTCCGCCTCGTCGACCGAGAAGGTGGCACCACTGCCCGTCGAATTGGTGGCTATAGAACGTCAGCACGTTTGCTGCGTCAACGCCCATGTACAAGTACCTGGTTTCGTCTTCGGGCAGTCGACGGGCGTGACAGCTGCGTTGACGCAGGTTGCGGCCGTTAATAAGCATTCGTTCTTGAACTTGATCGTGGCACCCTTGAGCGTAGCACACACCTTTTCCTTGCCCTTGGTTTTCGAACACTTGCCGAGGCCGCACTTGCCCATGGTCGACGGGCACTTGCCTGGCGAGAGGAATTCAATGCTTGGGTTGAGGCACCGTGCGGCCTTGAGGTAGCACAGATGGTCGTACGTCGCGCCGTTGGACCCGCAGACAGGTGCGACTTGGTTGGGCTTGCACTTGGCGAGCTTGGACAAGCACGTCGGGTCGCATGTTTTGGCCGCGCTCGCAAAGCAATGAATCTTGCGGTTCTTGCACTTGGCAGCGAGGCACTCGCACTGGTTGCTGAACGAAACGTCGTACGCAGTTGTCGAGTTGGAGAGGGCGCAGTAGACCACTTGCTTGGAAGAGGTGCAATTGGCCGCACATGTGCCTCCTTGAAGCCCCAAGCTAGAGACTACGGCTGGGAGCGTTAGCAGCGTGAGAAGAAGACGCTGCATTGTACGGCAAACGTGTAAATGATTTAAATGAGGACCTAGAGTCCGTTTTGCATTTTTGGAAGCCGAGGACCTTTAGCGACAATTTTCCGAGAATGAAATCCGTCGAAGATATACGCATTTTCCCGTATTTCCGTTGCACACTTGAACCAATAGCAACGCAGTGACACGGCGTTGCCCTTGCCAACGCCGCCAACGTAAGCCTCCAACCGCTTTTTCGACACCCAGGTGTCCATAAATAACCTCGAACGGCTGCGCTGCTTCGCTCATACACCTTGAAAGGACTGCAATGTCGTGGGACTCACTCGGAATCTTCACATGACACACTACACGCGGGAAGAAAAGCCCCGTACCGGTGCTATGCAGTCGCGGCCCGATGATCGAGTGAAGAAGCAAATGTCCCAGCCGTTCCAACAGGAAGGGCCGCCGTTTCCAATACGTGGATGAGGTTTTCAGTGCAAGGCCGAGCGATCTAGAAGTCGAAATCTAGATGGATCCAAGATCGAGGCACTCACATTTCTAGTGTCAGTCAACAAGCAAACACCTCACCCACCACGGTTGGTGACTCAAGTAGTTCAATCTTGATTGAGGACACTAGGGGCAGTGCACTAGGGGTAGTTTCTGCAAGCTCAGCTTCACAGGAGTGGAGACTGACAGGAAAATGAAAATAAGCAAGGCCCGAAGCGGAAAAATGAGCGTTGCATCGCGTCCGCTTATCTTTTTGCCGTTGAGCACCTCGTTCATTTGTCATCCCCGCTCATTTGATGTTGTTTCATCTTTGAATTGATCCTACATCAGCTATCAGCCACGCAAACGTCCGTCATGAGGGTGGAGTTGCTCAACCCTGTCGTTTTAGATTCGGCTTTTGGTCCGCAGCCAGCCCTACCTTTCCAGGTTGGGTGGTACAAGCAATACACTTTTCAAACTCCCCAGCAATACTACAATTGACTGAAGAGGACGTCATGAACCCATATATGCGCGAATTCATGAGTGAATCTACAGAAGGCGTTGCTGCTGCTGCTTCATGCACTCGACTAAGAAGGCGAGCTTGGCGTCCATCTCTTGCATCCTGGCATCGACGCTCTGGCTTGCAGGCACGGTGGAGCGATCGAGGGCCGCGGCGATCCGGTTGACGCCGTGCTCGGGCTCGTCGACGTCCACGGACGCCGCGTAGTGCTTGAGTTTGGCGATGAGCCGTTCGGCGCGGCGCTCGCTGATGTTGATTCCGACGGCCACGTCCTTGGTCGTCCAGACGATGTGGGACTCGATTTCCATGCGGTTGGTGAGCTTCTTGAAGAGGTCCGGGCGCCGCAGAATGTAAATCTTGATCACGTCCCGCATGACAAGAAAAAACTCGTCCACAAACGAGCGCTTCCTATACGAAAATAAGAAATGCAGCGCAGAAATGGATCGCATGCGATGTCGTACCCAAGGTTGACGTCGACAATCTCTTGGTGGGACGTGATGACAACGGCCAGCATAATGTTGACCAGCACGAGCGTCACAATCGACTGACTGACCCAGAACCAAACGACCGCGAGGTCGTTGACGTCCTTGATCAGGTCATAGCTGTAGCCGCCAAAAGAGCATGTTGATGCACG